CCCCCCCATGACCTCACCACAAAGGAGGACAAGGCACTGCAAATGGAAGAGCTTCAAGGGAAAAAAAATGTAGGACATGACCAAATTTTTTTTTAAAACCACATAATTATAAATCCATGCTTCTTATTCATGCTCACAATGAAAGACATTTTGGAACAGAATGAAAAAAGGAGGACCTGTAGTCACCCTGTCTTCACCGCCAAGGAGGACAAGGCACCGCAAGATGGAGGACATTCCAGAAAAATGGAGGACAGGCCCAAATAAAAGCTGGCAACACTCATATAATGTAAATCCTTGCTTCTTTAGTCCTGTTCAAAATGGAGGACATCTTGGAAATCCCCCCTGGAATTCCTCCTGCTCACCTTGTCCTCGCAGCAAAGTAGGACAAGGCACAGCAAAATGGAGGGCAGTCAAGAAAAGGTGGAGAGGCCCAAATAAAAAGGTAAAAGCACTTCCTCTATCAATGTAAATCCATGCTTCTTTGGTCATACTCAAAATGGAGGACATCCTCCTGGGCATGCTCAAAATGGAGGACATCCTCCTGGGCAAAGGCGGGAGCGGAGGACGTGTCCTGGAAAAGGAGGACGGCTAGTCACCCTGTGTGTCCTCCCACCACCGCCATTTTTGTTCCCTCTTTCCCCTTCCCCTATCCCTTCCCTTTTAACTCCTCTTTCTTTCCTTGCGGGGTGCTCGGCGCTGTACAAACCTCCAAAGCGAGCACAGCCACCTCCCTGAGGAGCGGCTCCTTCTGGGGAAAGGGGCCTCAGACCAGCTCCCAGTCCCCAAAAACGGCGCCGTAGAAACCAAAGGCGAGGAGGGCCTCTCAGGCACTTAATTGGGGTGGTGCCTCCTGCTACGTCAGGCCCGCCTTCTCCTCCCGCCGCCCCCCCCCCCCGATTTCGTTGTGTAACCAAAGCAACCCAGGCTCCCCACATGAGAAACGGACGAAGCGGAGAGCAACGCTACGCGCATGCGCGGAGAGCACCTTTTCAAAACAATGACAGTATTTATTGCTCCCTTCAAACATCCCCTTTCCCCCTTGAGCCAGCGTGGCGTAGTGGTTTGAGCGTTGGAGCTACGACTCTGGAGATTGTAGGTTCGAGTCCCAGCTGGAGCACTTTAAAAAAAAACAACGGAAGATCTACTGGTCTCTCAGAGGAAAGCAATGGCAGACCTCCTCTGAGGAAAACACTATAGGTTCATCCCCGTAAGGTCGCCGTAAGTCAAAAATGGCAGTAGCGTAATAACAATAACAACAGCCACCGCCTTGACCACGAGGACAGTCGCGTGACTCTCCCATGAGGAGAAATGACCGTTATTCGGTGACGTCAGTGGGAAGCTCTGGCGCGCGGGAAATCCAACGGCTGGGTTTAGTGGGATTTAACGGAACGGAACCACCCGCGGCTGGCTTGGGTGCAAGGCCGGTCTTTCTAAGGTGTAACTCCGGACGCCGCACAGATGGGCTTAAGCCGTGACACTATTTCCTGCCTGGCCGATTGGGTCAGAAAGGAGAAGGCGAGGCATGGCGGCGGCGGCGGCGGCAGCAGGGCGGTTATTATACCCAGGAGCCTCTTTCGTGAGGAGCCCTCGGCTCTTATGCGGGGCTCCGGCGCTCGGGTGGAGGCTCCGAGGCCTTTCGGGGCGAGGCCTAAGGGGAGGCGAGGTGCGGTGCGCTCCGGTGTGCGTCTTTTTTTTACCCTCCCCCTCGCTTTCCCGCGCCCCTTCAATTCGTTCCGGGGTGGAATCAGGTGCTTGTTTGTTGTCGGAGTCGCGTTTTAGGCTTATGGCGACCCTAAGTCGGTGAACCTATCAGGGGTTTTCTTGGGGACATACTAAAACAAATGACAGTACTTGCCCTTATTGAAAGATTAGAGGATATTTGCCCATAGAGAGTCATTGGGGAATACTTTTATCATTTACTTGCCCATAGGGACTCACTGGAGAATATGTGCCCATAGGGAATCATAGGGGTATACTTGCCCACAGGGAAACATTTAATACTTTCCCAACGTTTCCCTATGGGCAAGTCTTCCCCTATGTTTCCCTATGGGCAAGTATTCCAAGTATGCAACTATGCAGTGGCTCGAGTGGTTAAGATGCTAAATCTGTTGATTGCAAGATCGGCAGGTTGGCATTTCGAGGCCCAGGTGCTACATGTTGGGATGAGCTCCTGTCACTAGTCCCAGCTTCTGCCAACCTAGCAGTTCAAAAGCATGCAAATGCAAGTAGATAAATAGGTACCACTTCAGTGGGAAGGTAAACAGGATTCTGTGCAATCATGCTGGCCACGCTGGCTCTTTGGTTTAGTAACGGAGATAAACACCACCCTCTACGGTCAGACACGACTTGAAAACCTTATGAACCTTATGAATACCTTTACCTTTAAGTATCCCCCTATGATTTTCATTGGGCAAGTATTCCCCTATATTTCTCTATGGGTAAGTATTCCCCTATATTTCTCTATGGGCAAGTATTCCCCTATGATTATCTATAGGCAAGTATTCCCCTATATTTCCCTATGGGCAAGTATTCCCCTATATTTCTCTATGGGCAAGTATTCCCCTATATTTCCCTATGGGCAAGTATTCCCCTATATTTCTCTAAGGGCAAGTATTCCCCTATGATTCTCTATGGGCAAGTATTCCCCTATATTTCCCTATGGGCAAGTATTCCCTTATATTTCCCCATGGGCAGGTATTCCCCTATATATCCCTATGAGCAAGTGTTCCCCTGTATTTCCCTATTGGCAAGTATTCCTTAATGATTCTCTATGGGCAAATATTCCCCTATATTTCCTTATGGGCAAGTATTCCCCTATGATTCTCCTATGTTTCCCTCTGGGCAAGTGTTCGCCAATGATTCTCCATGGGCAAGTATTCCTCTTTATTTTCCTATCAGCAAGTATTCCCCCAGATTTCCCTATGGGCAAGTATTCTCCAATGATTCTCTACTGGCAAGTATGATTTCCCTATGGACAAGTACTGTCATTTGTTTTAGTGTGTCTGGTTTTCTTGGCATGTTTTTTCAGAGGGGATTTGCCATTGTTGCCATCCTCTGAAGCTGAGATAGTGTGAGTAGTCCAAAGTCACCGAGTGGGTTTTTATGCTCGAGACAGGATTCGAACTCTGATCTCCAGAGTCATAGTTTGAGTTTTACTGTAAAATTTTTAAAAATGTTTTCATCTTATGAGCCGCCTTGGGTCCCTTTCTTTGAGAAAGGCAGCATAAAGATGAAATAAATAAATAGTCCAACGCACAAACCAGTGGCGTCATTCGGGGGCTCGAAGGGGGATGCAGACCTCACCAAGTGACACCCTAATTGGAGGGTGACACCACTTCTCCTCGGACATCTACACTTTGGGAGAAATGGTTTCTTTTTTTTATTATTATTATTTTATTCTTTTAAAATTTTCTTTAAAAGCATCACCTTTTACCAAATTTTCTCATCAGTCACATTAAACTATGTATTGAGGCTGTCCATATGATATTGTAAATTAAAGGTATAATTTTAATTTTGCTAGTTGTTTCATGTCACAAATGTTATCATTGCAGTCATGTAGGAATTAAAATTAATGAGTAACATTAGTACAAAAAATTCACTAAAGGTTTTGTATCATGTGGGATGGGATGACACCATGAGTTACCGCACAGGGTGACACCAACCCTAGTGATGAAATGCATCTGTGTAGGATGGGGGGGACACTGGCTTAACAATACTACATGCAGAAGAGATCTAGGGGTCCTAGTAGAACACAAGTTGAACATGAATCAACAGTGTGATGCGGCAGTTAAAAATGCCAGTGCGATTCTAGGCTGCATCAATAGAAGTATAGTGTCTATCTAAGAAAGTAATAGGGAACTCTTTTATGCTTTGGTCAGGCCTCGCTGTGTCCACAGTTCAAAAAGGACATTGACAAGCTGGAGAGTGTCCAAAGGAGGGCTACCAAAATGGTGAAGGGGTGACTTATGAGGAGAGATTTAGGAAGCTGGGTATATTTACCCTGAAGAAGAGACGGTTAAGAAGTGATATGATAGCCCTGTTTAAATATTTGAAGTGATGTCATATTGAGGAGGGAGCTACCTTATTTTCCTGCGTATAAGACTACTTTTTAACCTGCAAAATCTGTTGTTAAAGTGGGGGGGTCGTCTTATATGCTGGGTATAAGGATAAGGAGGATAGAGGTGCTAGAACTCTATATTTTGGCTGGGAAAATGGGGGGTCGTCTTATACGCCGGGTCGTCTTATACGGCGGAAAATACGGTAGCTTGTTTTTTGCTGCTCCAGAGAATAAGACTCGAAACAATGGATGCAAGCTACAGGAAAAGAGATTTCTCCTTAACATTAGGAGGAGCTTCCTGACAGTAGGAGCTGTTCAACAGTGGAACACACTCCCTTTGAAAGTGCTGGAGTCTCCTTTGGAGGTTTTTAAACAGAGGTTGGATGGCCATCTGTCTGGGGTGCTTTGTGAGTTCCTGCATGGCAGGGGCTTGGACTGGATGGCCCTTGTGCTCTCTTCCAACTCTATGATTCTATGGCATTGGCTCAAACCGCAATGGCCAGGAGTAGACAACCTTTCCCCTTTAAGGGCCGAGGGACTTCAGCTCCCAGAATCCCAGAAGTTGAGTTCAGACACTGTGTCTTTGGTGGCAGCAGTTAATAAAGTTAATAAAGCGTGGTGGTGTACAGTAAATAAAATCTCACACATGAATCATGATCTAGGTATCCACAGCTGGTGACAATAGCAGTGTGATAGAAGGAGGTCCTCACAGTAGTAGCAGAGGTAGGGATAATGGAAAACCCTCATGCTTGGTGGCAGCGGTTTGGATAAGTGGAAGTCCTCACATTAGTGGGAATGGAGGGATAGGTAGAGGCCTCATAACACCTACTGTTTCCTCTTCATCCCAGTAAACATTGTTAGGTGTAATGTGATGTCTTCACACTTGCCAGTACCTTTGCAACTACAGACCTTATGGCCATGCCACCTAACCAAAGTTTTAGATATCTGTACTTCTCTCACCCATATGAAATTGTAGTTGGCCTTAATATATTTAGTTGACCTTTAGCATCCATCTGTGGATTTTGTACACACACACAAGGTCAGGAGAATGCAGGCAAGTGAGGAATGCTCTGGTCCAGTTTTCCCTATGGCCACAAGTCACAACTACCCTATGGGAAAGATTCCAAGGGGGAGAGGGGAAAGAGACAGGCAACTAAGGATGAATATGAGCTCATGTTCCCATTGATCCTGTTGCCTCCACCTCTCACCATTGGAAGGCTGTTGTGGAGGTTAGGGAGCTGGGCTGAAGAAAGAGTTTGTTAACAAAGACTTGGAGGATGCAGCTCAAGTATTCTTGGGAATGAAGAGCTAATTTCACAGTGATTAGTACTGAGTGGTAGACTCAGATTATGAATCTCAGTGTTTTAACCGCAGTATGAGAGTTCTGTCAGAACATGCAGTACATTGTTGATAAGCAGCTGCCAAACAGTCTGTTTTTACACAGAAGGAAATTTTGTTTGAGTCAGTTAATATTACTTCCAAGTGAATATGCTTAGGATTATAGCTTTTATGTTTCTCTTTTCCAGGTGCTTAAAAAATCCAGATTTTTCAGAAGAGGAGTTGCATTCTCAGTTCTGTCTTACTTTGGTTATGAAGCATATTTGTTAATCTCTCGGACTTCTGTGGTTTTTGCTGATGCCCAAGGTAAGCTGTTACATGTACAAAAAGCTTTGAAGACACACGATTGTTCTTCCCTATATTGGAAAGTCTTTTTGTTAATCTTCTCTTTTATATGTTTTCTTAGTGGTATAAGTGAGATATTAAAAAGAAAACAAGAATTTATCTTGAGGGAAATTGGAATTTGGATATCATGTTTTATTACTGTTGCTATAATTGTACTTTTTTTCTTTTTGGTCCTATGGGACTCCTCAAAATGGATTTATCAGGGCTCACTAATCATGGCTTTCCAGGTATTCTAAATCACAAGTCCCATAGTCTTCATTGATTATTCTGCTAGGGTAGAGGGGAGTCTAGGCCAAAAACCTCTGGAGATGCACAGCTGCCCAACCGTCATTTAAAGGAAACCAGCATAAGGGACATTACTTAGCAGGATAATGC